ATAAAGTTGAACTAAAACACACCGTGAGAGTTAAGACCTACAAATACCTACAAATAAATAGTGATTCAAAACATGCAAACCCCTTCAAAGCCACTGTGATGATGAGATTCAGCCTGGCCTTACTCAACACTTCCCAGCCTCGATGTGCACCCCCCCACCAATCCCTAAAGAGTGGCACTGTTCTCACAACAGCTCTGCTATAGCAACGAATGAGTTACAACAGAAAACCCTGCTCCTCTCCAAGGACAGGGTCCCTTTCTTCCCTCAGAATTTTGGGGAGTTGTGAGGCCAAGAGCAGCACGATGGTGCTGCTGAGAAAGCGCAGGAACAGGAGGAGAGGTGGATGGGAGTGGGAGCAGCACTGAAGTAAGGAAGCCCTGCAGGTGCAAGGGCAGCACAGCATCTCTGAACCCCATGAAAGAGTCCACAGGGTTCAACTCCACCAGAAAGTGCCTGGAAAAATTAAGGATTAGAAAATAACTAGAGTAAGATTAATAATTTACAGATCACTTACAAAGGCTTYCTTTGTTAGAGCTCTGCTCAAAAACATCTACATACATGAGTYGTCCTGGCAGAACTGTACAAACACCATGCAAGTGCTTCATATGTTCATGAGAGCATTCATGTGGAAGTGCTGGGAAAGCTGCACCAGCAAGTGCCCTGAGCTAAATCACAACCATAATCATGCCTGCTCACATCAAGTGGTTGCATGAGCCTATCAAGAGCAAAAAAATTAAATATTTGATCTCATTTAAACAGATGCACATTCAACTTGAAAAAGGTCAAAATCAGAACATTTCTTTGAAAAAATGTTTTTAAAAATCCAGGTAAAAGCTAAGCTAATTATCTTACTTCTAAAAATATCAGTTAACTAATTTGTGTAGGACACTCTAATACCAAAAGCAAGGTCTACCTATCAAAGGAAGGGAGCAAAAAGGGAGTAAAAAGCAGTCAGAAACTTTCAATCACTATTCAAAGTAATTTTAATTGGTATTTACTGAACGAATATGCTCCAAGGTGATAATGTCCATTTAAAAAACCCACAACAAATATGCTAAGTGCTTTCTGGACATTTTTTTCYAACTTGCATTGCACCATTCTTCCTTCTTCCTGAATAAAATTCCACAGCAGTGCAATTCCATCCACTGACTTGCTCTTATCTCMGTTTAAAGGGGAAAAAAGTAATAAAATTTAATTTCATCCAGCTAAATATTTTGGCAGATATTCTGCACTAAAAATATACACCATAATTTGGAGTAAATGTTCAAAATCAGTTCAATCCTTGCTCACTCCAACATTATCATGAACTTTAGCAGTTGCTTTCCTAAACCTTGTTAACAGATGTATGACCTTGACAAAAAAAAAGAAAGTGTATTTCTACTTTCTTTGAGCAACAAAACTAAAAGTGTATCATAAAAAGGGCAATAGCAGGTCTTCCAGGCCAACTTTGTTTTAAAGTTGTTTTTTTACAAGACTATGCTTTGTATGTGTAGAGGAAAAAAATCAAGAAATAGCAAAAATCAGCTATTTGCAGCCTTGATGAAAATGAAACTTTTATATTTTTAATCTGATGTTTATAAAGGACACCAAAGTTCAACTGAGTCATCTCTGGCTTTTGGCTTGTATTTAGCTGTGGGTATTTTACAGAGTGTGCAGGCACCGTTCACACTTTGCTGGCGCCCTCAATTACCATTGCAGTGTTTATGCATAAACACTAAAACGGAGTCAGAGAACAAAGACTGTGCAGGCAGCCACAAAACTCACTTAGCATTGCATATGTAATCCTGCATTTCTCCCACAGACTCTTCCCTATTTTTCCCCTCCCTTTTTTGCCTCTTTTGTTTTGTTGTTGCTTTGGGATTTTTTATCTCCATCAGGGCCATCCMAAAGGCAGCCTCCGCCCCAGAGAASCCCCAGGACAGACACAGATTGTGCTTCAGCAGCTGTCTCCTGATCTGTGGGGAGGTTTCCTTACTGGTGCCACTGCTGCCTACACGTGGCAAGTGTAAAATTCCCTGACAACACGATGCCATGTGCWACTGTCCCACTCTTCTGAGCTCTGTGTTAATTAACTTGCAAGTGATGCAAACATTTCCCCATCCTTAGGGAGAGGTGCACTGCACTGCCCAAACTGAGCCAGAACACCAGTTAAGTGGCTAAAAAAGGTGACACGTGAAGCAGGGTGCATAATGTGACTTGAAATGGAGGCAGATTACTTTTTAGGTATGAATCCCTTCAARTAGATTTTCCATTACCAGGAATAAAATTAAAGAAACATCTTCTTAACTGGGAAAATAACACCATATAAACCCTAAGGAAATTCCTTCCCTGGTATTCATTACTTGAGTTTGCAAAGACTCTTTCTTTAATGAGCACTTGCTTGCTAGAACTGATGAATAYTTCAGATGTTCTTTCAAAATAAATATAGAGAACCTAATACAGTATTTATGGCATGGATGAATTTCCTAAGTGAGTCCTCCCATAACCAGAAAGGAATATTAAGATGTGAGTGTGGAGAATCACAAACAGTACACAAAGGTACAGTATAATAGTGTGCATCACTTTTAGTCTTTTTTTTATATCTGTCCAACTCATTTGCAACTGGAAAACATTGCTTATTTTCACCATGTAAGAATCTGTGAATAGGTTGGTCCTRAGCAGCACAAAGAACACAAGCCTCCTAAGTAAATAAATGTGCATCTGTCAAAACTTAGGAGGGTTAGGAAAAAAAAACAAAACTCCATGTGTTACTGGAAGAAGGTACTACAAATCCTCCTTTAAGGAAGTTAAGGATACTACTTGAAGAAAAAAAAGAAAAAGAGTACATATACTGTTGAAATTTTGAAAATGCCACTGGTCAGATGCCCTCAGGCACTACCAATCATAAAATCAAACACTGAAGTTATAATTCAACAAACAAAAGACAACACCATTTTACATGGCTGTCCCATCAACAGCAGAAGCCAGGTTAGACTCAAGTAACAATGTCACATTTCTAAAAATGTCCTAGTAATGAAGTCTGCAGATTATGAAGTTTTTAAGTTTACTAAACTGATGGAGCTGCAATGTAACTTAAGATGCCTGGCCTCCTTTCTCCCATCCAAAAACAAAGGCCAACCCCACCAACCCCAAACCAGCATCTCATGAGATGCCTTCAGATGCCCTATTAGGGGGATGCAGTTGAACAAACGCTTAGGAAATACACTTCAACACCACAAAACAAAGATAAATACCAGAAAACACAAAGAACAGTACCTAAAACCCAAGAGGAAATACTGCAGAARCAGTTCAGCAAAGGGAAAGTCAAACCAGAAATCAACCCAAGTCCAACAATTGACATGGATACCACACAAACACACAAAACCAGACAAGCTTTTCCATTCAAGAGCCAAGGGTGGAAAAATACCCTTCAGAAGGCTTTTTGGAAAGGAGAGGTATGACAGAATCATATTACATACAACCTGTTTGGCCATCAAATCACAGACAGTGGCAAAATGAACTCAAGAGGAAAACCTCAAGGCCAACTACGAGCCGCTACTAGACAGACGCCTAATACAAGGTATCTGTCTGTGACCAAAAAACCACATTTTCCACATTTTGCCACAACAGGCATCACACCAATTACACATTATAAACTGACTCATTTACAAACACTCCTTGTTTTGCATGCTACTGTCAACAGAAAAACATAGAATGAGTAAATAGTTCAAGTTTTAGCTACACCTATGTGTTATGTCACAAAGAGCAGCAGTAATTAAAATCATACCCACAGCAATGAAAATACTAATATTGCAATGGCTTAATTTATTTAATAACAAAAAAAAAATCTGCTAGTGTGTACAACCACAATTGGTGTTAGCACACACAGGTAGGTGGTTTGCACAACTACTCCACATGAATAGACATTCTTGAGGCTGGACAAACATGCAAGTCAAATAAGATTATTTATTTGCTCCTTACTTAAGTTTGTCTTACCAGAGTTTCTGTAATGTGCAAAAGTGACAACGAAACTGTTAACAAATCGGGATATTTTCAAGTAAAATTACACTACAGGCCAGTCAGCAATTATCAAATCCAATATGTCCAATAACTCATGAAATTTTAGTACTGAAACAACACTATCTTATATTACATTTAGCTGGTATAAGAGAATAGTTCAACAAAATGAGTTTAACAACATACACTTTGTTCTCATTTCCAGTAGCTTCATCTCACACACACCATCCATCTTACTTGTCCCATCCATCCTCCAATACGTTTGCAACAACAGAATTAATGACTTATTTCTATTCAAAACATTCTAAAGATTAGCTGAAAGAAGCAATATCAATACACTACCTGCTACTTGAAAAAGAAAAAAATAACCAAACAAAACATGCATAACAGCAGACTGTAGCAAGTCTGTATAGTTGGCATAAAAACTCAGACATTTCCATTTGAAAGACCCATCTTATGTTATCATGAAAGACAGTAATATTAAAAGCGTGAAAGGAAGTGTTACCACGTGAAACTGAAGGTTGTTGTAAGTTTACAGAATTTCCAGTTTCAGCTGAGGTACTCTAAAGTTTAAAGAAAGAGAGGAAATCTAAACTTTAGTAAAGTAAGTACAAAAATTCCATTTTTGTTAACTTGGCTTGCAGTTTAACTTTGAATTCCCACATGAAATTTCAGATGCCATAAAACCTCTAYGCTAAACACATTTAACTGTTACCTTTGCAAGTAAGAAACTAGGAACAGAAGAAATTAAAGGGAACCTTCAAAGTGAGGGAARGCAAACTTTTGGTCTGCAGACTTGTGCAGAAAGATTCAAATATGTCTACAACATGCTGGAGAGAAAGAGGAAAGAAAGGACATGTTCTGTGCTTTTAAAATTAGCTAATCTGCTGAATAGCTGGAAAGCGCCGCTACCCAGCGTTTAACCCTTTGCCTTCCTGGGCCCTACGACAAGAAAATGCCGCTCAAAATGGGAGGGGATAAATATCAAAGCAATCAACGGTTACCTTTAAAACTCTTTGCTTCCTCCTCTGAGGCCTTTTGTTTTCTGTTAGAACCTAAAAAAACATCAAATTGCAGAATATAAATTGTGGTCACAAAGGCAGGCAGATAGCTCCGATTTTTATTATGGAACAGCGATATTTCTGCAATACCCCGAGTGCTTTACAGGCGGCACTTCCCCGGGCCGGCGGCGGCTCCCGGCGGCCCGTCCGCCGCCCCCGCGGCGCCCCTCACATCGCGGGAGCCCCGCGTTCCCCCTCACGGCAGCGGCGCCCCTGCCCCGCCATCTTTGCTTCCTGCCGCAGCGGCGGCCGCGCGGGCGCGCGCAGCGTGCGGCCCGGCGAGAACGCGCAGCGCCCCGCAGCGCCCCCCCGCGGCCCCGCACCCGAACAAAGGCGCTCCCGCGCGGCCGCCCGCAAGAGCCGGCACGGACCGCCCGCGCCCGCGGAGCCGGCGCAGCCCCGCGCAACCGGCACGGCCGGGCGGTGCGGGACACCCGCCCCGGACACCCGGACACCGGCACCGGGCACCGGCGAGGGCTGCGATCAGAGCGGGGTCAGGCGAGGACACGGCCCCCGTGCACCCGCACGCGTGCGCACAGCGCCGTGCACCGGGCGGCGGAGCCCTGACCCTCTCCGTGAGCGGACTGGGGATGCACGGTCGGGCACCAGCGGCCGTCGTGGGGCTTCCAGATCGTCCTGCAAGGAGTGGAAATGGCCGCTCACCTGGRGGAGGCGGCGGCCAAAGGGCCTGCCTTCTGCCTTCGCCTGCTGTCCTAAGCCGAGGGAACGCCACGCTGCACCGGCCCCCTCCAAAAGCTCAGCCGGGGGCCAGGAGCCCAGCGGACCCTGCCCTCCCACCACGGTCCCGGGGAAAGATACTCCTGTGTCTTCATCTATTCCTACAGCACCCAACACAACAAATCTGCTGCAAACCGACTGCAATGGGAACTAGCCACCATAGAAACATCAAGTGCATTTTTCCCACAACTCCACCTGCTTAAAACGTTCATCCGGACGGAAGGAGGACGGAGGGGTCCCAGCTCTACCAGTGGTCACACCGAGCCCTCATGGATCACACAGACATTCGCTAACTAGGGACAACAAACAAATAACAACGTATCTAACACTGCACTCACCGAAGCATTCACTGAAAAATTTTGCATTTGACATCTAARCCAGAATGCTGGCCATAGATTTGTGCACTATAGATAAAAACCAATATGAACATCTTTTCATCACAGACTGCAGTCTGAAACTGTCTTCTTACCTAGTGCTAAATTGTAATTCCTGTCCACTTATTAGGAATCAGTTAAACAGCAAAAATGCTCAGCCGTGGACACACAACTCATTCTGCAGCACCTCAATTAAATGAGAGAAAGCTGTTGCCCGTGTTTTGTTGTCTGATGCKACCTTGTATCTAAGCCAGTATGATGCATTAAACAGGATTTAGGATAAGGTAAAATAAAAATAGTGATTTATAATTTTTTCCCCAAATACCCTGAATCTGGCAAGGCTCTTTATGCATAATAAAAATAAGAGGTTCATACACTGAGTGATCTGATTCTTCTTCATAGTATTGGCTACTTAAGATGCTTTACAGTACAGAAAAAAAAAAAAAAAAGTATTTTGTTTGCCTAGAAACCTAAGACCCCATATTCTGAATTAGTCTCCAGACTGGTGCATGCACTGGACAGTAGTTTCAGGTTTCCCTGTTACTCAGGCACTTTCCCCTCATAGTAGAATGGGTCTCATGACACAAGGAAGGAAAGAAATTTCTTAAAATAATTTCCCCATAAAAGCTTCAAGAACCAGCACARAAAATAAGGAGCAGTGAAGAGGCAGCTTGTTAAATACAGCCTCTGAAAATAACTAGAGCACAAACTAATCCGTCTCACTGTAATTTAGGCTGCATTATAGTCCACGCCCAGGATCACAGAGAATGGCAAAGTACTGCGAGTTGTAATTATTTTATACTCCCACAGAGTGTGTCTGTGTGTGTAAAATATGAGTGAACTGCCCAACTCCAACTCACACACAGCTTTGCTMATCACACGTGTAACCAAACTCCACTAGCTGTGTGCTATCCCCTAACCAAAGTCTCAAGTATCATACTTGGGAATGTTTTTATGTGCACTCATTTTAAAATTTAACTGGCTTAARTACTTCTGGAGTCTACTGTAAAATAAATACCACAAAGTCTAAATTTCTTGATTATARCTAGGCCKGGCTGGAAAACAAGAATTCCATTTTGCTTCAATTTTTTTGAGATTTCGACACTTGGTTGTGTTCCAAAGCAGAGCAAACCTTTCAAAAATTCAAGAGGAGACAGATGGGATGTGGGAGACCAAAGTTCAAGCCCCTGGTCTGCATCAGGCAATAAGCCCTTACCAACAACCTGTCCTAATAATTCTTACCTCCTTTTTAAGTTTTAAACAGAAATTTAATTTGAAGCCTTGAGAAACTTCCYCCAAAAATAGCTGCATTAAGACAGATAGCATCTGTGAAAGATTCTTGTTAAATCAGCATTTTCCATTGAAGGAATGGCTTAGTAGAAAGTTCCCAACCAACTTGAATTGMAGCATCCTTTTTTAATACGTCTGGGATTTTCAGCAGTGTGTTAAAAACCCACAGACAAAGAGGCCCTTATTGTAATTTAATATTTTATGTTACTCGGATTATAGCCTTTAAATAAGACATCTCCAGACACCTTGGGTAACCCAAGTGAACTTACACTCAGTGGCCTCATTTTTTTGGTCAGTTTTTTTTCCTACAGGTCCCACTAAACCTAGCTAWTTAATTCTGATAGGAATTAAAGCTCTCCCCAAGAGAGCTTTCAGCCCAAGAGGGCTTCCTGCCTAGATAGGACCCTAAAATGTAGGCACCTTGCCTTGCCTTGCCTGCAGAAAGCAGCCTTTGGAGATGAGAGCTCCCCACACTGACATTCAGCAGCAGCCCCATAAGTTTATGGCCTTTGGGGCAAGAGGAGCTCCTGGCCAAAGCAGGAATCTTTTTTTTCCATGGAAAAAAGAAAATAAACCATGAGTGACTTTTCCTATCCACATGTTAGTTTTGAAGCCTACAAAGTTCTTGTCCCACAYTGCAACTCATCAAGACATCTCTGGCAGTATGCAATGCAATGGCAGCAAAGCAGACCGCTTGTGGAATTAAATCTGCTTTTTGGAAAAAAACAGCTGCGAAATAGCCCTCAGTAACTGCYATACTATTTCAGAAAACAGCAGTCTTTAAAGACAAGACAAAAATGTGGAAGCATCACACTCATGTATAAGCTCCTCAAACTCTTCACTGTGAWGTATTCCTGCATTATTCATTCTGAGAGGGACAGCAACCCAAGAAAAAGCCTTTCTCCTCTTCTTTTGAAAGCTTGGTTACATTTTATTTGCTGGGCTGCTCTTTCAAAAAAAACTAAATAAGAAAAAAACTGTTTTCCCTTACATATTTTAGGATTCCTCTTTACCAGCTTTAAACCAAACAGGCATGAGTCCCTCAGGAAGAGGGGCATTACACACAACAACATTGATACACACATGGGCTGRGAACCAGAGCCCACAATGCCTTATCCAGACTTCCATGATGTCACATCCCTGCAAAACCCATTACATTCAGCAAGATACAATATCACTGAATGTTTATGTAATTTTTKAATTATATTTTTCAAGTCCAATGTAGTTTTCAAATCTTTATSTGCATTATGTGTGAATTAATGTAAATAACAGTAACTTAACTAATGCCAATTCCAAACACACAACTGATACTTTCCAAGGGCGGAGGGCTTGTGCACACATGGGCACGGGTGCTGGGGTATGCACTTCAGTTTACATTCATGGCTTCTACCAGCCAGATTTTACTCCCTGTAACTGTAAATCCATCTAAGTTCTCAACGAAAACCAACATTTTTTTTCTTTCATAAGCAGCATGTATGGACTGCCAATCCCCACACTGGCCATACAGCCATTTAATGCATACGGCTCTCACTGACTTCACAGAGACTCTAYCACTTTTGCATTTCCCATTAGAATGGGAAGAGATAAGTCCCTTTAAGGCAAAACACCAACATTTAAGCTATCCTTCCTCAGAGCAAGTCTATCCCCTACACCCTCCTCCCAGTGAATCACCTCCAAAAAATGCTTACATTCCACCAACATGAGAGAAAGAAGCGTGACTCTTCTGAACAAGGAACACACTGAAGCCAWCCTCATTTTGCTTGATTATTTATGTTCACTTTCTATACCATGGACAGAGACCTACAGTTTTGGGTTTTCCCCAGCTGCCTTCTATTTGAAACACATTCCTGTCACAGAAGTTCCAGTGCTACCAGTCTGTGAAAACACAATGGGATTCCCTGCAATCTTATCTACTAAACTGAGTGATAGCATTCCCCACCCCAACACCTTCCCCTGTATCTGAACATCTTTAAAGAGCTCATATACCATTGCAGAAATAGTTTCCTCTCATTTTCTCAAAGCACAGTTTCTAGAGATGAGACAATAAGGAAATGAGGCAAGGCTTCTTTCTAGGAATATCTGAAGAGGCACCAGGTTTCATTCAAACACAGTTTTGTAAGAAAACACCTGACATGTTCTTAAATGTCAGGAATACTTCATTTCCTCCAAGCAGCACCCTGAAATTTCATATAAAATTTAATGACAAACGAAGGAGGCCTCTGGTGCATCTCTGAATGTCTCATACAGAATGCGACCAGTCTAATGAAATAAAAGCACACCAAAATAAAAGCTACCAAAGAAAAGAATAAAAACAAGCAATCTCTCATAAAGAAAGTAAAATGAGTGCCCGGAGAGGACAAAGGTGAAGGGGCAAAGCTAATCTGCAAGGAGAAGGTCAGGCCAAGCAACAAGAAAAGAAGTATGTTTAGCCTGGAAAACAAAGGTTGACAGAAAAGCTGGGGTACTTCCTTTCACTGACCCTGCCAAAAMCCTTTTTTAAACATGGCTTTTAGATCACTTCCTACCTCAACTCCACAAATTCTCTCCCATGAACTTTCCTTCAATCCCACTGACTAAATACAGAAAAGGCCAATGTCACTAGTCTTTTGCTGTAAAAAGTCACTAGAAATCTCTGCCACCTTTACTGTTTCAACATCTACCTTAAGTCACATTAGAGCTGTCCCTTCCCTCACTCTTTTTTTTAAGAATATTTAGGAGTTGAGACAGAAAGAGGTTTTCAAATTAATTCTGAGCCAAACTGTTTAAGCTGACTTTCCTAAACGTCTTCCCCCACAAAGGGGGATATACCATTCCCCCTCACTGCTACAGGACTCTTCTTTCTGCTTGCCTACCTTAAAACCAGAATGAACTCTGCCAACCCTGGTAAGCACAGGACAGAACAGTGAAAACAGGAGATGTTCTGAGTTCTCTGCAGCTGACAGCAAATTCTACCTGCTGTAAGAACACACCATTTTAATGAAATTGCCCTTGAGAAAGATTTTGCAGGTGCATTCTCTCCAGTGTGAACTGCTCCACTCAGAGAGTGGAGTGGTGCAGAGACTTGAACTTCAGTTTCCCACATCCCAAGGCAAATGTCCCAGTGATTTAACTACCAAGACGGCCTCTCCCCCTCAGTGGTTCAGGTGCTCCTGGATCATATGAAGAGAACACTCCCAGCAGGACCTGGCAATGCCAAGTCTTAACTCTGCAGCTCAGAGGTCAGGGAGTTAAGTTGGGATGTGGGAAATCTATGTTCAACTCCCTACTTACCTGATTTAAAGCCTGATCTTGAACTGAAATCCCTCAGAAGGTCAGTGCTGTTATCACATGGGCATACAGACTGTCTTTTCCCCTCCTCTTTGTTCCAAAAGTAATGACCTGGGTTATAAAAGGCTGATGGTTCAGAAAAATGAGTAAGAAACAYAGAAAAAGAAAGTATGTACAGAGAATGTGGTAAGAGACAAAGGGAGAAAGGAAGGAGAAGTGRAATGAGAGAAACAGAAGAATAGACAATTAAAAAGGCAGAGAGATGCGAAAGGGAAAAATGCAGCTACAACTTGGTCCTGAAGTCTATAAATTGATTTCCACCAAATCTGTCATCACAAGCAAACTACTTTAGCTGAACCAGAGTGCAAATAACCYGCCTTTCTTTGCTTACAGCCTTAAGTATTTTAAAATACCAACACTCTCCCTAGGARTTCACTCCCTTAGGAGTCTCCTAAGACTACCCTCAAACTCCCTCCTCCCCACATTTCGTGCTTAAATCTTTCTCATTTCTTCATGCMCTCCAATTAATCCATTGTTTTGGCCAATATACCAATACAGCTAAAGCCACATTTACCTATGATTTTATGGATTCACAAAGCAGGAACAAAACTAACTCCAGCTCACCSTAACCTACACTCCTGCAGATGGCAAGAGGAAGTTACTGTACAACCTGTTAGCACCGAGAGTAAACCTGACCTCTAYAAAGCTGTAATTTGGCAGAATTTTAAGATGCACCTCAAGCCTCATAAAAGTGACTTAATTTGCAACTTTGTCATCTTACCTCAAAAGGCAGCATGATTGGTGGTGGTGGTTTTTTCAGTTCTTCACATTTTCTCTTTTTACATATCCGGTGACTCGTTTTGCGCTTCCTGCAACAGCTGCACTCCTCACAATTTGTCTTCCGCAGACAGGGCTCACAGACTCCACAACGCCTTCGTTTCTTCTTCTCCAGCATAGGGAGCAAAGATGAATATGGAACAGGGTAAGCACCAGCTGGATTTTTAAGAGAGGATGGCCCTGAGGCCTCAACTGCTTCAGTGCTGTTGCTCACGTTGTCCTGAACCAAATTCCAGCGTACTCCGACACTTCCCAGCTGTGATGAATAATCATTATGCTGCAGTCTTGAGTCAGCTGGCAAATCTGCATTTATGGCTTTTTCTGAGGCAAGAGCAGAGATTTCCATGCTTGAAGGCAACTCYGAAACAAAACCTGCAGAGAATTGTCCAGAGCTTTCAGCAGAGATTTTATCAACTGTGCTTTCTTCTAAATCTGAAGATAAAGTGGGGACATATCCTGAATTTAAAATTAATGTCTCTGCATCAATACATTTAACAAGCTGTTCAATGTCCTCTACTGGAATGTTGTTTAAAGAGGTATTGGAGACCGGTTCACATATTGTAAATATGTTTTTTGTGTCAAATTCTGAATTCTCTCTTGTACAGCTCAAATCTGAATTTGAATCAAGTTCTTTGTGAATGGGTACAAAATCCACAACCAGTTTCATGGGGTATTCTGCAAGTGAACTTGCACCTTCAAAATGTAAAAGCAAATTTGATTCAGAGGCAGCTACAGAACTGGAATTTAAATCAAAGTCTTTATTCTCAGATTCCAAATCCCAGCCTGCCTTCAAGCAAGACTCTGCAAGTGACCTTGCATCTTCTAATAAGTGTTGTTGTGAGTTAAACTCAGAGGTAACTAGAGATGCWGAATCCAAGTCTTGTTCTTCCCTAGGTAGCACCATGTCCAGCTCCGCTCCAATGTGGGATTTGGCAAGAGTGACCGACTCTATCAGTGCTGCTGAGCTGAGGTCTGAGGTATCAACAGAGCTGGAGTCACGTTCTGCACTGTTAAGCAACACATTGAAGGGAGTCTCTGCATGCACCATTGAGTTTGATTCAGAGGCAATTATAGAGTCAGAAGAAGATGGAAGCACCAGCACAGCACCTTCAACAAATGCTTCAGCCAAACTACCCGTATCAAGATCACTGGGTATCTGCTCGCAGGGCAGGTCTTCATGCTTAAATTTCACCTCTAAAGCTTCTGTACCATCATCAGKTTCCTGACTGTTTGAAAGGGAGTCATCTATTTCAGGTATTTCCACGCCCTTGTCCTGACTGGCACATGGGGTCTCTTCACCCTGTGCATTACACAGACAGCCTTCCACAGGCAGAGAAGCTAACTCATTTTGTGCTAAATCTTGCTGCAATGTTATTTCACCTGGTTCATCATTTTTCTCTTCTGCTATCACCAGGGCTTCTTGTTCATGTTTTTCCTTTGTTTCCAGCCTTTTTTGTGCTGCAGCTTTCCTGGGTTTGGCAATTATTGGAGCTTGGGACCATCGACGGGAGAAGGATCGGTTACGGAGAGACATTGTAAAGCCATTGACGTTGAACGAATCCTGGCTGTGAAAAAGGATATTGTCAGCTTTCTCCAAAGTCACCCAAGATGCTCCTGACAAGGTTCTGGTTACGCTGCTCCTAAGAAGTCTACTTGAAGAGCTCATGATTGGTTTCTTTTCTTGCTGTTTTTTCTTAACATCTTTTTCTTGCACTGGCTTTTTTCCTTTTCCAGAACTAACAGCTTTTGTGGAAGTCTTTGTGGGTTTTTTTTGCACTTGGCTAGATTTCTTTTTGCTCTGGTTAGTTTTCCTTTTGCCTAACTCTTCTTTTTTGGCTGATCTGGAAGGCCTTGCATGGTGAGCCATGTCTGTGGAGCAGGAGGAATGTTAAGAGAAGAGATGGAAAAAAATCATGAGCTCTTGAGAGACCTCTTCAATAGAAAACTGCATATTCCCATTACTGCCTTCTGTGCTGATACAATGTCAACTCTGAAATAGAAAAAAAAATACAAAACAGCATTAATATAATTTTAATTCATAAAAGGTGCATATAACTGATMATTTTTAATATTTAAAAACACAGAGGTAGAACTAGAAATAGCAGTATGGGGTGTTATGTTCAATTAGCACAAAAGTTTTGAAAATATTAGTATACTACAAAATAAAAAGCTTGCCTAGAGGTCTGTAACAAAAACAAAGAAGCAAAGTGAGCTCAAATGACCAGGCAACATCACATATTTACTATTMATTTTCACATCTTGAGTATTTATTTCAGTTTTTAAAAGTTTGAGTTTTCTCAATTTTATTAACACTTCATTAACCAATGAACTCACTMGGAGTAAGAGAAAGTTCATATTTATCAGTGTAAGGACATTCAGGAAAGAAAGAACAAAGCTGAGTTTATTTTGGGTGTGTGTACTCAATATATCACCACCAGGGCATGTGTCATTCTTTCACCATCCACTGGTAGCAAATGGCACAAATCCAGATAAAACAGGAGAAGTAACTAGCTCCCCAAAGACATCAATTTGGGGTATTACAGGGAAACTGGGGCAGGGAAAAACTGGTCTTTCCCAGTGTTATCTTCCAGAATAACATCATAGCACACTAAATGACATTCCAAGCCTTATTTCCATACTTTCTACCTATATCAGATGTCTCATCCAGGGAGATTGTCTCTGCTTTATCGCTATGACTTACTACATTTACCCTGAAAAACACCCACCATGCATCTGCCCCAAGCTTTTATCCCCAAACACAACTGAATCATCTCAAAAGACACAACAGATTTCTCACCAATTTCCTTTGAGGCAGATTGTTTTTTTTTTAAAGTGCAGCAATTCTCACAAGTACCTATTTTTAAGCATRCAGTGCTTTTTAAGTACCTGTGGAAGGCTCTGAAAGCTTTATTTAGCTGTTTGAACAGATCAGGTGGGTAGCCAAGGGCAGYCTAAAAATGGGAATGGGCAGAGCCAGAGGCTCTGTAGCCTCCTGCAGCAGGGTGGCTTCCTTTCACCACCATTCCTYTGAATTCCCTAAGCCCAAATCAAGTCACCTCCAGGCCATCTGCACCTCACTGAAGGGAAGAGGCCAAGAAAAGGGAGAACAAGAAGTATGGGGATGATGTCTAAAATTCTGACCTCAAATGGAAGTAAAAGAAAGGGAATCTTGGCTCCTAAAGGAAACCRAAAAGGAAAGAAGAGTGATACCAGGCTTCTGACACCACCACTCCCTCTTATGACCTCAATCCCCACCTTGAAGCCAACAGGGTGATCTCATGGAGGCACATTTTTACACACACAAATACCACTCAGAGCCACTACTACTGTACAGGACAAAGCTAAACACACTTCTCAGGTTAAATCAGAAAACAGTGCCCATCAAACACACAACAAACAAACAAGCTAAACAGCATCCCTCCTCCGTCACAGCAACAAACCCAACCTGGAGAGACTAAGCAGACACAGTTGTTTACAGCTGTGGGTGAAGCTTCAAAAGTCATGGAGCACCTCCCACAGAAGCGTTCTGTAAAAGTTGGGTCAGCTACTGAAATAGTAAAACAAATACAACGCTGAAATGAAGGTAACCCGAGCGCTCTCCTTTTTCTACTCTTCTCTGGAGATGCATGAGGGAAAGGGGACAGCATCACATCAGCAGGTCCAGGAAACAGTTGTTGGCAGCCTGCAAAAAGCCCYCCTAGTTTCTTGGGGTTTTGACAGAGACTTGGCTCGTCATTCCAAAGGATGGCCTGGTGGGCTGCAAAAGCAGCTGGAAGCCAGCAACAGGCACATCTGTAGCTGTTAGCAGAGGAGCTACATAACAGTGGCAGGAGAGGAAATGCAAGCTACTTTCAGAGCCTATGGCCAGGTGGGYAAGGAAGAGAGCAAGCAAACAACAAAGGCCAGGCAACAATGGAATGTGTGAGTCAGGAGGGGGACTGAAGAGATAAAGTGTTTTCTCCTTATCAGCCCTGAAACAGAAGCAGAATTGCCAGAGAATTCAGGAGGTCTGGAGTGGAAACAGTGATGGGATTTTTGACAATACTGAATGTGTATAATGCTTTGCTCGTATTGCTTCTCTACATAAGCAGTTGTTGCTGTTATTGTGGAAGTTAAGGAAGCATGACCACCAAAATTATCAATCAAATTAATAGAAACTTRATTTATAACAATTTGGTAATTTTTAAAATCATTGSTACMATTACATGATAATATGTCTTYACCTGCATTTGGACAGTGACAGGACATGAGGRAATGGCTTCAAGGTGAAGGAGGGCAAGTTTACATTAGATACTAAGAACAAATTCTTCTTGGGAGGGTGGTGAGGCCCTGGCACAGGCTGCCCAGAGAARCTGTGACTTCAGTATCCCTYWAAGTGTCCCAAGGCCACGCTGGATGGGTCTTGGASCAGCCTGGGATAGTAGAAGTTGTCCCTGCCTGTGGCAGAGGATTGGAAYGAGTCAATCTTTAAAGTCCCTTCCCACTCAAACCRTTCTGTGATTGCATGATTTGAAAATTGCAAAATATTKGCTTCAGGATTGAAGAGGCAAGATCATCCTGGGGTTCTTTCGTTGGTTGGCCTTGCCTTTTCTTTTTTATCTATGAATACAGAAAACACACCTGTCTGGCAAGAATATAGGCTCAACCCCAAAGCATTGCTTCTCTTCAGGGCCAAAATTAGAGAGGCTATGAACAGMGAGGTTCAAGACTTCCCCTTTTCTTGCTAAAAGAAGAATGCTGACATTTGTAGGAAATTGCCTGACTTTATATGCTGCATTATAAAAGATGGCAAAGGCTTTGTCTGACTCAGAGAGGACAATACAGGGGCACAAGAACAGCAACTTTTATCCGTTTTGTTTCAGTTTTGTCAGTGGAGTGATCTTAGGTTTTTCAGAAGAAATCTGAATTGACCCCAAAAGGAATTTTTTTAGGGGTGGGAGGTTAATGCTTGACTTTAGCTTTTTCCATTTAAAGCACTGGCAAAGACTGTTGATATCTGCAGCAGTTGCAAATCCTCTCATGTCACTTCCTAAGGACAACAAATGGCTTTATTACTACATTGGTCATATTTCACAGCAAGTAATTGTATTTCCAAAACATCTATGTGGACTCGACAGGATTATAAAACGTAAACCTCATGGGGCAATATAATAACTTGTCACTTTTCTATCATCCTGGAGAGAAACAAACTTCCTTCAATGCTTTCTTCTGAAMGCCAAAGCAGGTGAGAGCTGCCATGCCCTCCCTCAGGTGTCTCTAGGATGTAAAAGGGGTAATGGGTGACAGGAGGGTTTGTAGAGAATGCCCCAGATAATACCAGTGCATCCCGAAGCTGTTACTTGAGCCACCTTATCACTTCTAATTCATGTGCAAAGCTGCAAGCTGGTTTTAAGGCCAGTTGCTTATGTTTTTGCTCATTCATAGTACTAAATCTGGAACAATTCCACTGACTGCTATAATCCTCAACAAATACTGCTAAAAAAAAGCTAATCAAAGGCTAAATCTTTTAGTCCTGTCTTGGTCAAAATTCCAAACAATTATAATGAGAATTCTGTCTACCCAAAAATTAAGAAATTTAACCCCATACTGCCAGAATGGGTCCAGGAAAAAAAAAAAACCCAAACAAAAAACCCTAACAAACCCACCCACACTGTTTCACCTTACACAAACTGGTTAAAAAAATAAAGCAAGTTTTTGTTTTAGAGACACTGTCAATCAAGGTTCTGTTACATAACTTAATTCTTGTTGGAAGATGGCAGGGGAAAAAAAAAGATATCAGAAGATGTGTCCTCATAAAAAATGGTGGCAGCTTTTTTATGGTGTCATGAAAGATGGCAAGTGACCCCTSAACAAACAGGGCTGAACAGGGAAAAGAAACGATACAGCTAGTCACTAGTCACCTGGTTTCACTACAGTCTGATGTACTTATTAAATACATTTTGCTTCAGTGTTTAGGTACGTTTTTAAAAGTCCCTTGATAATTGCCTATAGGGGAAACAAGATCTGGAAGCTTTAATAAAAGCCACGTAATACACAGGTTCCAAATAATAAGGGCTGCAATGAGACTAAGAAGTCACACAAGATCAGATACACAACTCAGAATTGTAAAACACCTCATCTTCTGGCAGCAAATGGTCTAGAGGAAGATGCAAGAGACACCAGAGAAGACAGACATTTAAAAAATCTGACCCTCAGGTCCAAAAGCATGYCATATCATCTGCATATTCTTCCCARATGCACCAAAGCCAACCTGCTTTCCAACCGGGCCTAGTTCCCTCCACCTACTCTCTGCTCTGTAGAACAATTTTTATATAAAAAGAAGAGATATGGGTTAGGAGGAGGGAATCAGCTTTAATCTTCCCTTTTCCTCTTCTTTAGTCCTTGAATACACATTTGGCTTTGGTTAAGAAATAAAAATGAAACTTCTCATCTGCCATTTCAGTACCATGAGTTATTTCATACACAGCCTTGTACGGAGGCCTCCCCACTCCATTTACTACATAAAGGTTTTCTGCTTTACATTACAGGACTATGCCACTCTCAAGGCAACCACATACACTAAACTTTGACTTAAGCCAACACTTTCCAGCAGCACACGAATGTGGAGCAGGCACTGCAGGATGCCACCTCAGTTYCTCACAGACAAAGACACAAAAAGCACAATCCTTTACTCACTCCTCAGTGACACACAATGATTCTGAGCAGACTAAGCACCAAGACCTTCATCCTAAATTTTTGTCCAGAAGGCCACCTCTGTGTTTGGAGGATAAGGCAGGGTTGCCACCCCCCTGTGTAAGGAGCTGGAGGCTGTTCTGACATAGGCACACTCCATGGTTAGCATTTTGCATTGTCATGACTTCATGCACCTTGGAGTCTGCACAGTGAGTCACACAGATAAAAAATACCACAAAAAAAAACCCTCCCAGTTTAGGGAAAGCTCTATTAGAATGATTAAAAAAAAAAAAAATAGAAGCATAGCAAGGAACCACACATGCCTAAACCACAAACCAGATTAAGCCTCAGACAAACAAACCAAAAATCCATTGTGAAGACTCACWCCACATGCACAAGTACTTTCCCTTCAGCCAGGCAGGAGCACAGGCCTCCCTTAATCTCTGTGCAGTCCAGCTGAACACTGACCTTCACGGGAGGAATGCTAAAAAAGTGAAGAGATATCAAGTAATTTCTAAAGGCTCACCAAAGAAAAGCCCCATGCACCAGAAGACTCCAGTACTTCTGAATACAAAAAAGGCAAGCAAAACAAATAGAACACTCTAGCTAATCATATGCCTCTCTAATTCTGCATTTATGCTGTTTAAAGCACTGCATCTCTTATTGATAATATGACTCCATTTTTTAAGGTTTTGCCTTTTCTTGAAAACAACATAAAAAAAAACCACAAAAAACCCCCACCACCATTAACTGAACCACCTTATCTCAAAGTCAGCTAAAAGAAGGGGGAGGTAGAGGGAAGAACCTTCAGGCAAAGATTAAGCCTGGAAAATTTCAGCCTGAAAAGTGTTTTGAAATTTTAAGTATCTGAAAACAGAAAGCAGGATGGAAGTGCTTAGGCCAGCTTTAATAACCAGGGGTACCAWGCCATTCATAATAAAACACTGTCAATGAAGATTTTAAATTACTACACAGTGAAGARTGATGTTTTACAGAAACTGTAAATATCAAAGTTCCTTGGTACATCTCACCTTGAATTCTTCCCCARTTACTTGCTTTGCACAACCCAGCCTGCCCTTTTCTCCTCCAAGCACAACAAACCCTTCTTATCTTGAGGGACTGAACCTCAGTCTAAGAGCAACCACCACTGCCTCTTGTGCTAACAGAGCAACTGCCTCTGAAAAGCATAAAAAAGCTTTCTCCTCCTTTACAGTCAGTTTCCACCAGGCTACCTGCCCAGACCAAGACTAAATGCTAAGTTTTCCCAATTCAATCTGTATTCCTAGTTTGTGTTGACTGACAAAATGAAAACAGAGTGATTAAACCACAGAACAGCCTTCTGCCTCTCCACAAGAGTACCTCAAAGAGCACTGAGCACAGCTGGGAAGAACTATTATTATCTGGAAGATTATTATTATTGTTACTACTACTATTGTTTTCACAGATTTTTCCATTGTCTTTAAAATGTAAAGAGACACCTCTGCCCTAGAAATCTACTCGGTCAGTTTTAAATATGCAATGCTGCAATCTTTGGCCATTTTGCACTACAATTTCTAGAATAAGAGCTCTTTAGCCAGATCCATGCTGGTGCAGSCACCCTGGCCAGCTTGTTTATGGGAGGCGGCTCCAAGCGCCTTAGTCCAGGGTATGCACTGAGATTGGTGTGCTCATGCACTGCTCCAGATGCCCGTTGCACATCCCCCTCTCCTCCTTAAAGGAGTAGCAATCTCACGACTCGCTAAGTAGGCCGATACCCAAGTGATRCTCACTCCGTTGCTCTTTAAATATCTTTGGGGTGCAGCAGGATAGGCTGGCTCAGGGTAGGACAGGCTGGGCACACAACTGGCGCGTCTCCTTTGACTGGTGCAGCGCCTGGTCCCTTCGCAGAGCCAGCCCGTTCCGCTGCTCGCTCCTCGGGCGCCAGCAGCCGTACCTTTGTAAGGTTAGCCGGTCCTCCCTTCCCAGCAGGCCGCCTCGTCCTTTCTCCTTACCCATTCGCCGAACCACATCCTTCTCCCCCAGTGCGATCACGAGCACGGCAGGGAGCATTCCCGCCAGCACCAAGCCTCCAGGTGCCATAAGACCACCACCTCCTCCCCCAGCTCCACGAGCAGCTGGACAAGCGCCCAGGAGCACCCCGGGSGCTACAGCCCTACAGGGCTCTGGTTCCTTTAGTGCGGGCAGGCGGTCCCCAAAGGGGGAAGGGAAGGGGCAGGCAGGGCCCTCCCGGGGGGGAAGCAGCGGCTCCTCGTGGCCCGGCCCCGCTGCTGGTCGTGCCCCCGCGACCCCGGGAGCCCACCCCGGGGCTGCAGACAATGGGGCCGACCCCAGCGACGGCGCTGGGGACCCGCAGCGCCTATCCGGACGCGGCAAAGGCGGGGAGCCACCCCTGGAGATGCTCCCCCCGGCTCCTCACACCAGCAGCACCTCCACAGGATGATGCTGCACAGTTCTCGCTCGCCTGTTTTATGGGGGGGCGGGGGTGGGCTGCGGGTATTTTCCGCCTGGCCGGGGGCCCCTATGGCCAGGCAGGGTCCCTTTTAATTGCTCCCTGCCCTCCACGCAGGCTGCAGGCAGTTCCTCTTGCCTGGCGGGTTTTTCCAGGCAGCTCTGGCTGCTGCAGCTCAAACACGCTCCAGTACAGCCAGGGAGACCGGACTTCTTCGCTTTTTCGGCCAACAGACTGCGTTTTGCATTTGAATAACCCCCAGCCTGCCTTCCTCCCCGCCTCGGAACGGCCCGAGCCGCGGGGCTCCGAGCCTGGCCGCGGCGGTGCCTCTGCCTCCCCCTCCCCACTCCACCCTGCAAAGCTCAACTTTGCAACTGGCCGAGGGGATAAGCGAGAGGGGAAGGAGTGGAAAAACAGAGGGATAAAAAAGAAAAAAGGTGGGGGTCCGAGAGCAGAGGTTCCCGCCGTCGCCGGCCGTCCGGCCCCCCCGCCTCCCCCGCAGAAGCCCCGGGACCCGTCCCGCACACGTACCAGGGCTGCGGCGCGGCCAGCCCGCAGCTCACAGGAAGGGGCGACGCTGGCATGGCTCGGAGCGGGGCGAGGCGCGGGTCACGGCCCGGGCCCCCACGGGCGGGCGGCTCCCATGGCGAGATGAGCCCCGGCGCAGAGAGGAGCCCCGGGCCGCGAAACGTGCTCCGTGCTCTCGGCAGCGGCGGCGTCGCCCCTGGCCGGACCCTCCGGGAGGGAGCGGGGAGGGGGCGGCTCGGCGGGGCGCTCGCCGCACCGAGCCCTCCCGGCAGGCGGCAAAACGCGCCCTGGATCCCCGCGGCCGGAGCGGGATTCGCCGCCCCCCACACCCACCCACGCCCCCGCTCTCCGAGGTGACCCCGCACGGCCCCGGGGACAGCGAGCGTGGCGGTGGTGTCCCCACGGCTGCACACAAGAGCTCCCGTCGGCGTGCCAGGATGGTAACGCCAAGGGTTATTTAACAACAACAACAACAAAATAAATAAAATGACGGTAATAAGAGAAAAGGCAAATTATCATGTTACTTGCGGAGGCTGCGGTTTGACGCCGCGTACCTCCCGGCCAGCCACGGTGGTGGCACTCTATAAAATCATCCCTTTTTAGCCTAGAGGAGGGAAAGCCTGCTCAGCCGTGACGGGCGATGGACTCACTGGGGGCCAAACCCCCTTCCCCTTACACGTGCCATTCAGGAGGACTCTCAAACACCAGCGTTCGTCAGARTCCGGCCACTCCACGCGTGGAGCAAACGCTCCCAGAAGCGTGGGGAAGATGCTAACTGAGAAGGAACATCTGCTGAGCCACCCTCTCCCTTGTGCTAGGAGGTAAAAATAATGAGCCTTCCTCTTTCCCCATCCCCCACCTCATCCATTAAGAGCTGCTCCTTCCCAGAGGGAAACACGTGAGTAAAATATTACAGTAAGAGGAAGAGTCAGTCCACCCKTCTTGCACCTTTTCATTATCACCAYAGCCTTTTGTGAAAAACAGGCCACCAAATCTAACACCTCTTCACACTGAAAAACAGATGTTGGAAMTGGGATCTGTAAAACAATATACCCAAGCAGTATGTTTTTAGAAAGGCTTCATTATTATTAAGTCTGTAGCTSTTGTAATCTAGAGCACTTTAAGTGTGAACCAACCCAGTCAAACACAACCCTGCAGAGAGGCTTTTCTGCTGCATACAAGGGAGCAGTAGCAGTACTATCCATCCACCTCCATTCCTAGAGGTGTTTTAAATGCCATCATTTTGTTTGTTTATGTTACATGTGATAAAGCAGAAGTAGTGGCACAGATCTGCACAACTCCTGATCAATGCTGCTCTTCAGTAACAGTGAATAGGTAGCCCATCATCAGTTTGTACCACCATCCTCTTCCCACCTGCCCTACATGTCATTGCAGTGAGAGAAGAACACAATCTGGGAATCTTAGCCAAGCTCACAGACACTTAAGATGAAACAAAGCAAAATCTGCACTACAGACACCTGAATTYTGAAAAGTTGCMCTCAGTGGCAGGGAATYTTATGCAGCAATGCACAAGTTCTCTTTGCTGGGTGTAATCATACCATCTCCTCCTCAGGGCTGSATATCAAGACCTATGTCATTCCAAAGATTTACCTTGCTAGAAGATGAGGTAACACAAGCTATTTCTATAAGATAATAGAACAGGTTTGAGAGGCAAAAGAACTATTGCTCTCAAACTACTGCACACAGCAGAAGGTGAAGGAACTAGAATTTGATAATAAAACCCCACATAATCAGAATATGTTTCTTGGGAAGATGTCAATAAGTTGRAAGTTGTGAGCTTGAATAAAATGCGGAGCAAGAAATGCAACAAGCAATGGGGCTAAGGTTTGTTTAGAATAAGCAGGTTAATTGGAACACCCAAGTATCAACATGCACAATCACAACTCCATTAAAAACATGCCAAAGGCTAGGAAACAAACAAGAATTAACAATTGTTCACTTTCACCCCTACAGACTTATGTGCTCATGCTCTGAGGTCTTTCATCCTGGGAARCAAGTAGCACCAGGTCACAATCTTTTCTGGCAACGGTAAGACACTCAGCTTACCAAGACAAACTGAGTATAAATGTTTAGAAAAAAAAAATGTAATGACTGTCTAGGCAATAAAATGGTGGATGAAATCTTTTCACTAAAATGCAAAGTGAGGCACATGGAAAACCATGGAAATCACAGCCTCTGACTTGTCCCCTACCATTCAAAAGAGAGATCCTGGTACTGTGACAAGGTACTGAAATGATGCTGTTCTGTGTGCTCAAGTGGATTGTTGGGGATCATTACAAAAGAAGGGGAGAACTGAACAGGAAACACCCCTACACCATCATTATTTAGCCCAGAACTATTGTCYACTTATATCTCAAATATAAGATGCAGTCCTGGTTTGCTTAAAAGGTGCAAAGGGAAACTTGAAAGACACAAAAGAACATAATAAGTGTACCCAAGAGCACATGGAKCAGCTAAATGCACCAATATTTCCACCCTAGAAAGGCAACAGTCTGGATGAAATCCCAACCAATAYACTATAAAAAACAAAAACAGTGTGGAAAGTAATATCAGAGAAAGATACTCAGTGAGTGCTTAGAGAAACAATGAGTGCTCTCTAAAGCAGACGATATCAAGACGTATATCAGACACATAATTGGAATGTAGACAGTAACTTCATGCAACATGTTGTCAAACCAAGTCATTGCTACAACACATGGAAGAGATAAAAATCTTTAGAGCTGTTGTTCTGGGTTTTTAAAAGCAAAATTGATGAAAGTTTAATCAAAACTACACAACACAGAAGTACTATTTTAGCTATCCATTGCGTGAAGCTGAAAGAGTGCACTGAGTACCCGTGCTATCCAAGCCTCCTTCTCTGTGTATGCTGCTGGTTATTTTTCTGGGTAAAATTTTAAGCTGGTGGATCTTTGGCCTGACACAGTGCTCCTATCACTATGCTATTACCCAGAATAAAATGCAAATTGACACCTACCTACAGAATGAATRAAACTAAATGACATTGTACAARRTAATAAAGTGCACAAACCTGTAARTAGTTCKGCATTACAGAYRGCTCTGGCCAGATTTGAGTKTGTGGTAAAMATGAGGGARCTGTGAGGGGCAGCTGTTCCSTGAGAGRCACGGAGCCCCACACAACAGCCAGCAGGACAAGGACCTCATTAGCCAGCACCCAGCCCCACTGTACACACATAGGGTAAACAGAACAGGCCCAGGGGCAGCATCTGCATTCAGGCACAAGGTCAGGTAATAAAACAGCTTCCAGGAGCTGAGCTAGGTCTGAGGCTGAACTAAAAACCCAAGCTGCAGGTCACAARCAAGTCTGGAGAGCCACAAGGAAGGAAAATTATGTACAACCTAAGTGAACATTGAACAGGATCCATACAGACTAAAAAGAGCCAAGCCCAAATTAAGGCTCTAGATAAACAGGGCCCATAGCTTAGCCAGAGTTGAGCATAAATAGAGCTCCTGGGCCCATGGGCAAAGGATGTGRGAGGAGACTCTGGATGCAGTTGGTCAAGTCCATTAAGACCTATTATTGCCCTCCGGGTCTTGACCCTTGAAATGGAACTATGTAGGTATGCTGTCCCTAAATTAGTCCTGCAGAGTCATCTGGATCAGACCTCTGCAATAGGCACAGCATTAGTCCAAGCTAAGAAAGACTGATGCTGAACTTAAGTCCTTCACAAATGAAAAGCACTAAGAATTACACTGCAAAGGCACCAAAGCCACTTTTTAAGGGACAGTTTGATCCATCCAGGCCTATCTCAGCTAACCCTGCTTCCTTTGTAGTGGAAACATGATACTGAAATATTAGAGCAGCTTGTGTGATTACAGAACATGGATTACAACTTCTACTTTCTACCTAAGCYTCCCTCACATTTATTAGCTCGGACTCCAGCATGACAAAGTGACCAGCCTGCTAACAGCCTAGATGTGAACCAGGAACTCGTGTGCCACACTGGTGTGTGGTGCTGGGCCTGTGAACCCAGCTGAACACCAGCCAAGCACTATTAATGCCTTTGGATTTGTAATACAGATGATCAGATAAAGTACCCACCGTATTGTTAGTTGGCACTATCTGAAAGAGAAAAGTTTTGAACAACGTAAGTTTAATGCAGAAACCCTTGACTTCTAATTGTGGTTTTGACAATGCCTTCCTCATTTAGTCTTTCTTGGCCCTGGTTCTGYAGATAGTATCTACCTGCCTGATTGGCACAGAAAACAGGTTAACATTTGTAGGCATGCTGAATACAGATACTTTAAGCATTAACACAGTTTTATGTGAAATAAGGCCAGGAGRGATGAAGGCCTTTCTGATGCCCATTCTACAGGCCCATTGCATTTTCCCTAGGTATTTCCTGGCAGATGCTCCTGACCTGCAGTGGACAGCAGTTCACCTCCAGTTTCTACTCTCATTGGAAAGCTTGGCCCTTACTTCATTGCCTGATTGTGCATGAGTACTCTAAAGCATGACAGCAGAATGACTGTGTAGTGCCTTGCTGGTAAACACTACATCTGGGGAGATGTGGTTAATTGTGCATGTACAGACCCAACAGTTTTGGACACTTCAAGTCTACTGCACTTTTGCAGTAAGCCATGTGATACAGGGGTCMCATAGGGTGCACCTTTTCCTGGCACCCGAAAGAAAGGAAGGGGCTGGCTTAGCCGGAGAAATTTGGCATCCACTGTCTTTGCAGACTCACTAACTCTCACGAGTCAAATACTTCTGTTCCTCAAAGACCTCATTGACAGAGTATGGGTAGGGACTGTAAGGGTGTCAACAAGGCTTAATGGCCCTGATCAGSCTCACCTGGGGCCTCCACCCACACACCTGCTTCATGGGCCCAGCAACTCCATTTAAGCTCAGGCCTGAGCAGGCAATTGCTCCCTAGTTAAGTTATGGTGTAGGTGTGCTTGTTTTGGGTGTTGGCTCTGGCCTAGTTTGTTGACTGGACTTGGTTTTTAAATGAACCTCAGGCTTGTCTCCAGCCTTATTTTCTGTCCTTTTTTTGCCTCTCTGGATGCACCACAGGCCTGCTTTGTGTCTTTCCTGTAACCAAGGTCAGAGCCTGTTCCCAGCACCCTGCTCTCCCTGTTCTGCTGTAGAACYGTGCCCTGCTGGTGATGATCCTTCCTGTGTTCTGGTCATATTTGGCTCCTTGTTCACCTGACTTCAGGAAGAAGCACTTTTGTCTACTTGCTGACAGAGATAAAGACAGCTCGAGATAGCACCATGCCAAGGAACTGAGGTTTGCTAGAGTATTTATAACCTGCAAGCTGTGATTTTTTTTGGCAGAAGAAGAATGAGTCTCATGGGGGGGAAGTTATGCACTTCTGATGACATGAGATATGGTTTGGGACAAATGAATAGGCAATTAGATAGGTGTTATTTCAGGTCRCTAATTAGTAACGACCAGAAGCAAGTTTAAAGACTTAAAAAGCTTGCAATCTTGAGGCATGGCACCTGAGGGTAATGTGTACAACTATCCTAAAACAGGGCTTGGTGTATATCAGCATTTTAATAACATAGAAAATAATCTTTTCAGCAACCACTACTATGAGGATAACTTACTTACCTGGAGCCTTGATAATCTATTTTGATTGATATATCTTCAAAGTTATTTTCAGAAAACCAACCATCTTTAACAACAAAAAATTCACGAATAAATTACAACAATTGACAAAACTACCTACCTGTTTGGGGTTTTTTTTTTCCTTCAAATTTACAGCTCTGCTCTAGAGTAATTTTTATGTCTTCCCCTACTGATTGTTGATTTACCAGGGGGAGGATGACATAGTGTCACATGAGCATAACCCAAATGACATTAAAATTGCTGATGACTTTYAAGAATGTTTCATAAAAGAGATATCACCAGAAAACTTCTGTAAAAGGTGTAAACACTTCAAAGTAAAAAGATGAAGTGACAGCAGGGAGAATATTAAGTTTTGAAGTTGTAAATGAGCTATTATAGACGCTAATGAAAAAACAGAACTTGAGAGCACTTTTTACCAGTAAGTATTTAAAAAAACCCACCAAAGCTATGCACATAGAGCTCGTTGCTGAATTCCTTTGTATATATCTATACAAGAGGTTCTGTTTAGTTTTGCAATGAAAGTTTTTTACTGCTTTTCTAAACAGTATGCATGCATGGGGCACATTTCCCTAAATTACGAGGGTTGGCAAACKATTTTCTTGAAATATCCTGCCTGTAGCTAAGAGAAGTAACAGCCCATCTATGTGATTATTGATTTTTCAAGCCTGTGGTGAAACTCTAGAAACTTGATGACTTTCAGCTGTTAGTGCAGTTTCAATGCTTTTCTGTGTGAAATCAGTAAATTAGGTTCCTACAGCTGGAGCTGTTAACACCATATGGTTGCTGTGGTGGGAGGAGGCTTTTCCTAAGCAGAAACCCAAAAGAATACAAATTGGGTGGAGAAAATGGCATAAACAGTGACTATAAAGTTTAGTTCAATAACTCACAAAACTGTTGCCTTTCCATTAGAGGCTTAAAAATCAGAGTGGCAACAACAACAATTTTGCAGGTGTATTACAAAATGTGAAGTCTTGAGAGTTTTTGGCTATAATGGACTTATTCCATGCTTTCTAGAAAAAAAAAACCAAAAACTGTTCACCTTAGCCATTTTTTAATTGTTGGAAAAGATTAGTATTGCAACGGCTGTTTCCCAATTACATAAATGACATAATCATCAAACAGAGCAAAATGAAGCTTTCCTGATTCTGAAGCTAGCTTAAGTTTAAGGAATGTAGTCTTTTAAAGAGAAAAATGAGTAATTTCTGTTGAAGACAATATGACGTAACCAGGAAGCAAAAGGTTGGGATAGTTTGTTTAGAAAGTGGTTCCTTTTACTTGGCAAGTATTGAGATCTGTTTGACTGTTTTCTTTGTGTTAGAAGACTAASTTTAAAAAAAGGCATATTGGTGTAYGATACACTTGAAAACCAGGTCAAGATGTGTGGGGCAAGAAGTATATGAGGAATAGGTGAGTAACTGCAGAAAAATGAGGTTAAACCTGACAGCATGAGCTTTCTCAACAGTTGTCACCAGGCATCAGGCGTGGTCTCCCTCCTTGCTCCGTGCACCAGCATTCAGAGGGTGCACTTGTCGGTTTTTAGGTTTTTTTTTTGCAAGAGCTGAAGAAAAAAGTTCAAGTGCCTTCTGGAAAGCCCTATACACTCTATTCATCAGAGACATTGCTGAAAACCTAAAAAAAATGTCCAAAATGTTGACAATTGCAGAATAACACTGTTTGACCTTTCTGATTCTAAAACATCTGATTTTTCTTTTTCTTTTTTTTGTTCCTGAATCTGTTTCCCTTCCTGATGCATTTTGAAACTTGCATTTAAATAATCATACAGATTTTTTTCTGGGTATGAAACCACAATTGTAGACAAAATAAATATTGATGTTCTAGGACGAAGTTTAAGTAGATATTTAAATAGTTGAAAAGAAGCTGATGTATTTTATTGCATAGCCTAATTAAAGTTGTTTTGGTTATGTGCACWCCCATAGGTCTAGATAAATGTATTTGTTGGCTGTTTTTAAGAAGCAGCAAGCGATTCCCGGGGGTACTACCACACCAGCTCCACGCCCGCAGCGGCTGCGGCGGGGTTAACCCGGGGCAGGGCKCGGAGGGGCGGTGCTGCCGCCGGCACTGACGCGATCCACAAGCGCCGCGCCGTGGCCCGAGCGCGGCTCGGCGGGGCCGCCCCCAGCTCCGCCCCTGCGGCGCGGCGGGGGCAC